TGCCCACCCTCTATGCCCCCTGAGCCTCTCGGAGCTGGATAGATCCCCTTTAATTCCCTGCAAATAGTGTATTCTGCTGCCATCTAGTGATTTCACAGCCTCCCGTGGCTTTTGCCCACGGAGTGGGTTGTCTGGTAGTCGCTTTTTATCTCAAAGGTTAATTTTTCTGCCTTTGCGAACTGAGGAGGGGAAAGGATCCAAAGAGTTTGTGGTTATGGTTTGCTTGCTCGTCGCGTTGGAAAATTCCCTTTTTTTTTGTGCGTTGTGGTTTTGAAGTTGGAAGGGTTTTCCATCTCGGATCACTAAGGGCACACACAACTCTTGAGTGGCTCAGTGGTGTTGCACATCTCTTCTTCCCTTTGAGTTAACCTGGTCAGCAGCAAAGTGCACCTAAAGTAGCATTAAACTCACTAAATCCATTAAAAAATACGTTTTCCTTCTCTTGCCTAGTGCTGTGCTGCTAAACCTTCTTGCTCGAGAAACTTCTGCACTAGTTGTTGGCTGATCAGAGGGTTTAATTTCAGGAAGAGCAGTTGAACACTGAGTTGGGTGGAGATGGATAACTCCTCGGAGTGGCTTTTTCCATCTTTCCTTCCCTTTCAGACAGCTAAATGTAGATTGGAATTATCAGGTGTGACTGTAGGATGTGAAAATACACCAGGACTAGCTTTAATCTAATCAGCTCAGGTACTTGCAGGAGCTGGTAGGAAGGTGTAGCATCCCTGAAGGATTGTTGGTTTTATCCCACCTTTCTGTTGGAATTCATTACCCATTTGTGTTGCAGATGAAGGGATAGGGAGGGATTGGTCCAGGGTAGGAACCAACTGTCAGTGTGTGCAGATAATGAGGCTCAAACAGATTCGCAGGGAAGTGATGACTTTTCAAGCCAGGATTCTCTCAGCCTGCCAAAAATTACTCCTTATGCTCTTCCAGTAGTTCTTCCTTCAGGCAGAAACACTTTCCCAGCAGGATCCAACCTCTCTTAGTCATCATTCCTGCGGTGCTCATTGTACTTGGGCTTTTCCAATCCCTCGAAATGTTCCGTTTCTCCTTAGTTAAAACCTTTCAATGGGGGTTAGAAAAGTAGTTGTTAGTGAGAACCTTCCTCCTTTATCAGGGCTTTGTGGCCAATCTCCAGCTCAGCTTTCCCACTCCCCTTCGAGCCCCTGTGGTTTCCTGCTCTGTGTCTGTGCTCTGCTCTCCCATTTCAGTTTGCACCTGTTGTCACTTCTGTCCTGTGCTGCTGATCTTCCCATGGTGGTGACACTGTCACTTGGTTAAGAAGAAACAACCCATTTCTCATGTATCTGCAGGACTTTTCATATCCAAACCAGAAAACAAAAAAAAAAAAAGCTCAGATCTCTTCCTGTACACTCAGATTTCCAGGGATTGTTCCACAGCTATTTGATGCCATAAATCAGAATTGAAGTATCAGAGTGATTCCTGTGAAGTGTAAATTTTTGTGGTTTTGCTCTATTTTCACCCCCCCATAGAGAACAAAGCTCCAGGGATTGCCTTTTTTTTTTTTTTTTTGGTGGTTTAGACTGGAAGGGGATGATCATTTCCTGTATAATTTCTTACTCAGATCTGAAATATGTGGGGAAGCTTGTCTGAACTCCTAACTGCTCCAGCTTGTTAACTCTAACGTGGTTGTGCTTCTCAGAGATGCCTGAGGGACCTCCTGTCCCTCTGCACTTCTCTTTTTGCAGGGGCAGAATCTTGGTTTGACTGTGTGCAGCGTCAGACCTGCCAACTAAACTCCTCAGACTAGAGAGGGTGTGAAATCAGGACACACTTGGCTACCTGAAGAGAGATTGGGTAGTTTCAAGTTGAATCGAGTCTTTTTTTTAGTTTTACTTTCAATGGAAAAAATGGTGTTTGCCTGGGGAAAAGTGAGTGATTAACTGTTTGGCTTCTACTCAATGCCACAGTTAACAGAGGTGGTGTAAAAATAATCCAGTAATGATTGTAATGATGATCAAACACAGTTAAAATAGAAGTTGGTGTTTGGGAGTGTGTCTGGGTTAAGGAAGAAAGAATTTCCTCTGGAGGTTGGAGTGGAATTTGTAGCTCCTTTGGAGTTTGTAGTGTGGAATTGTCTTCAAATCCTGATGAGAATGTGGAGGATCTATATTTCCTTAAGTCTTCCCTGATATTTTTTGGGAATATGCTGCAAAACTGCTCAGACCTCCGAGATGCTGTGGCTTAAATCTTCCCTAATATTTTTTGGGAATATGCTACAAAACTGCTCAGACCTCTGAGAGACTGTGGCTTAAGTCTTAAGTCTTCCCAGATATTTTTTGGGAATATGCTGCAAAACTGCTCAGACCTCCGAGAGGCTGTGGCTTAAGTCTTCCCTAATATTTTTGGGGAATATGCTACAAAACTGCTCAGATCTCTGAGAGACTGTGGCTTAAGTATTCTCTAATATTTTTTGGGAATATGCTGCAAAACTGCACAGACCTCCGAGAGGTTGTGGCTTTCCCTGGGAAGCGACTCCCCGGGAGCGTGGGAGCCTTGGTTTGGGAGCTCCTTGGGTTACGTTGAAGTAGTAAGAACAACAATTTCCCAGTCACTGTGATGGTGAAGAACTGCCCAGTTCAGGACTGTCGATGGTTTCCAAGCCACGTGGTGATGGTTCCTGGCACAAAGAGCCAACTCCAGCGTGATGGGAGCTTGGAATGGGGAAGGGAATAACCATCTGGTTCGGTGCTTCCCCTGCAGATGGAAGATGGTCACTCCCTGTTCGATTACAGCGTTGGACTGAACGACATTGTTCAGCTCCTGGTCAGACAAAGCCCTGCAGTGCTTCCTGCTGGGAGCAAGGAGAAGGACTCGGAGCTGTCGGACACGGACTCGGGCTGCGGCTCCGGGCACAGCGACTCCGACAAGAGCTCCCACAATGGAGAAGGTGCCATGGAGCTGGAGGGACAGCCCAGCACGGCAGCACAGCCTGACTGGGCAGAGCCTGGATTTGGCCTCTACAAGGTGAGTCACCAGCAGGCAAAGATTCCTTCAAACTGTGCCTTGGGAAAGGGAATTGTTCCTCTGCGGTTGAGAACGGCCGAGAATCTTCCGTGCCCCAATTGTGTGGGGAGTTCCTTTTTTTCCCTTTTAAATCCTCCAACAACAAAGGCAAAAATACCAACCAACCCACAAAGCAATTGAATGCAACATGTTGTAGGTCAAAATACGAAATTTCTTCATTTTCTCCTTTGAACTCGAACTACAATACATGAATTGGTTTGACAAAAAGGCATTCAGAGTGCCTGGTTTGATTATTTTTTTTTTTTCCCCCCAAACTTAACCCAATATATTTGCTTGGTGTCACTACATTTGTCAAAGCTGAAACTTCCTTGAATGAACAAAAGAAAATCTCAAGCAGCTGTTGGGATTCATTTGGCTCGTCTGTGTCGATGGATTTTATTATGGATCTAGTGATCTCTTTGCCAGGCTGTGAGCAAGACAGTTGGGAAGTCTGTTCCAGGCTAACTAATAATGCCAGTGCTCCCTAGGAAAGCTCTTAGTGTGTGTGTGGTTGTGTAAAATGGATTTAGAACTTTCTAAATCCAACCTGAGCAGACTGCAAAGGTTCCCTGAGATCAGGAAGGCAAAGGAAATCCGAATTTTCAAGATGCTCTGTTAAATATGTTGATAATGGTGAAGTTCTGGAGATGGTGAAAGCTTCAGGTAGATTTGCACATGGATGTTGGTTTGTAAATCCACTTTGGTGAGCTCTGTGCTTTGCTCTGTGCTTTGCCCTGTGCAGATCAATGACTTGGTCGACGCTCGGGACATGAACATGGGATCCTGGTATGAAGCCCAAGTGGTGAATGTGAGGAGGAAAAAACCTCCCAGAGAAGCAGCTGAGAGCTGCACAGACCCTGCCCAGCCAACTGCTGTCCCTGAGGAGGATGTGGTCTATCATGTGAAATATGAAGGGTGAGTTTTATTGCCTTTTGGCTCATAAAATCTCTGGCTCCTGATGCTGATGGGAAATTCTATTGCAGAGATGCACGAGGTCAACCAGAACTGGGCAGTGCCACAGTAATTATGTCACTGAGCCCTGGTAACTGAGGCTGCTTTACAGCTGGAGTTACAGGGGGCTGGAATTGTGTTTTCAGGGATAGGAAATGTTGTTCTCCAAGTGGTAAATGGGATGCAGCAGTAGCACAGTTAAACTGGCTGTGTCCATGTGGGACAAGGAGATTTCATCCTTCCCACTATCCTCATGCTGCACAGCAAAATGGACCTGTCTGCATGGAATCTGTCACTCAGCAAAGCTGATGTGGGATGTGGTGTTTCTTCTCTGTCCCTCCATGCCTCCCTTCAAGCTATCCAGAGAATGGAGTTGTGGAGCTGAGCTCCAAGGACGTTCGCACTCGGGCACGCACCGTGCTGAAGTGGCACCAGCTGGAGGTGGGACAGGTGGTGATGGTCAACTACAATCCTGACGACCCAAAGGAGAGAGGGTTTTGGTATGATGCTGAGATTCTGCAGAAAAGGGAAACAAAAATGACCAAGGAGATCAATGCAAAGATATTACTTGGGTAAGCAAGTCCAGAATGTGGGAGAAATTGAGTTGCTCAGCTCTGTTTAAGCTTTCCTGAGGTCTGAGTGAGCCTGCTGAAAAATGGAGCAGCAGGGAGAGATGAGGAGTGACCTGTCCTTTTTGGGTGATTAAACTTCCTACTGCAGTTTTGATTAACTTCCACTGAGGAACTGGACACTGTGAGGAATCACAGAGGATGCTGATCCCTGGATTTAGGTAAAGCCTCAGATTTGCTGTGAGGCAAAGAATTGTTTAGCCATAATGGCTTTACCAAAACTGCAGTGTAATATTTAGTGGAGCTGTGATAACACAGCCTGAGCCTTCAGTTTATAGAGGTGATGAAGACTCATCTCTCAGTTCTCTCCTGAAGGAAACTCTCAACTGCAGGATAAAAGGATATATTTTTTATAAGGTTCAGATCATTTCAGGGTTGTCAGAATGTTCCTCTTTGGTTTTTTTTTCCCCTCTCACCACAGTGATTTTGCCTTTTTAGCTATAAAATCTGTGAAGAGTTAGTCTGAAATGTATTTGGGGGGGGACAGTAACTAACAGGTGTTGGAATGCCACAAGTGCCTGGATTCTTATTGAGCAGACACATTCTAACTGCATAAAGATGGTTTGGGTTTTTGGGACCAAACCAGT